GAAGTTGATGTAGGTCTGTACCAAATACCCTGGTTGAGTGTCTGACAGATTGAACATAAAATGGTATAAAATACCGAACGATTGTTAGGTAAGACACATATCACAGTTAGGTATCTTTATTTCGAACGTTCGCCTACACAGTAGGCTTCTTCAGTCGAGTACAGAACAGTAGATAGAAGCAGAGATACTTGAGACGTGTAATCAGTCCATCACCTTAAAGTTTTGAGGTGGTCAGTCCCTCAGTCTGGAGAAGAGATTGTTCCATGGAATGAAACATATGGAGATGAAGTACAGGATGGAGCACTTATATAGCGCAAGAGAGACGTAGGTCACTAGAAGAGGAATGAATCAGATGCTGGAGGTCGTCCCTCTCAAACCAGCCGTTCTACTAGTAGGTTTTCGAAGTTGATTGTAGGTCTGTCCAGTACCCGTGTTGCAGTGTCGGGACAGATTGACATTAAAATGTAAAAATACCGAAGATGTTAGGTAAGACACGTATGCAACAGTTAGGTATCTTATTTCGAAAGTTTCGCCTAACAGTAGGCTTCTCGTCGAGTACAGAACAGTAGATAGAACAGAAGATACGTGAAGACGATGTAATCAGCCCATCCCCTTAAGTTTTGGGTGGTCAGTTCCTCGTCTGAGTTCTTACCTCTTCTGTACCTAGTCTCACCTCTTGGCGCTTAAAGTGCTCCTCTGTCACTTCATCTCCTTTATTGTTCATTCCATGAAAAATGCTCTTCTCCAGATGAGGGTGACCACTAAACTTTAGGGTGATGGACTATTACATCTCTAAAGTATCTTCTGCTTCTATCTATGTTCTGTACTCGACTGAGAACTACTGTGTAGGCGAAACGTTTCGAAATAAAGATACACTACTGTTGCATATGTTCTTACCTAAAATCTGTGGTATTTTATCCATTTTAATGTTCAAGTGTGAAGGGCACCAGCATCGAGGCTGGTAAGGCACCAGCATCAGTGCTGTGAAGGGCACCACATCGGGCTGGTAAAAGGACACCACTCGAGGCTGGTGAAGGACACAGCCATCGAGGCTGGTGAAGGACACCAGCATCGAGGCTGATGAAGGACACCACATAAGGCTTGGAGGACATCAGTATCGAGGCTGGTAAAGACACCACATCGAGGCTGGTGAAGGACACCAACATCAAGGCTTGTGAAGGACTCTGTATCGAGGCTGGTGAAGGACACCAGCATCGAGGGGGTGAAGGACATCAAATCGGGATTGGCGAAGGACATCAGATCAATCTGGTGAAGGACACCAGCTTAAAGCTGGTGAAGGAATCACATCAAGTTGGTGAAGGACACCAGCATCAGCTGTGATGAAATCAGCATCAAGGCTGGTGAAGGACACCAGCATCAAGGCTGGTGAAGGAAATCAGCATCAAGGCTGGTGAATGACACCAGATCAAGGCTGGTGAAGGACATCAGCATCGAGGCTGGTGAAGGACATCAGCATCAAGGCTGGTGAAGGACACCAGCATCAAGGCTTGTGAAGGACATCAGTATCGAGCTGGTGAAGGACACCAGCCTGATGCTGGTGAAGGACACCTGCATCAAGGCTGAAGGACACCAGCATCAAGGCTGGTGAAGGACATCAGCATCAAGGTTGGTGAAGGACACCAGCATCAAGGCTGGTGAAGGACACCTGCATCAAGGCTGGTGAAGGACACCAGCATCGAGGCTGGTGAAGTACACTCTGCATCGAGGTGGTGAAGGACACCAGCATCAAGGCTGGTGAAGGACCAGCATCGAGTTGGTGAAGGACACCAGCATCAAGGCTGGTGAAGGACACCAGCATCGAGGCTGGTGAAGTACACCAGCATCGAGGCTGGTGAAGGACACCAGCATCGAGGCTGGTGAAGGACACCAGCATCGAGGCTGGTGAAGGACACCAGCATCAAGGCTGGTGAAGGACACCAGCGTCGAGGGAGAGGATACCAACATCAAGGTTGGAAAAGGGACACCAGCCAGGATGGTGAAGAACATCGCATAAAGGTGACGAAGGACACCAGCATCAAGGTTGGTGAAGGACATCAGCATCGAGGCTGGTGAAGGACACCTGCATCAAGGCTGGTGAAGTACATAGCATCGAGGCTGGTGAAGGACACCAACATCAAGGCTTGTGAAGGACATCAGTATCGAGGCTGGTGAAGGACACCAGCATCAAGGCTGGTGAAGGAAATCAGCATAAAGGGTCTGGTGAAGGACACCAGCATCAAGGCTGGTGAAGAAATCAGCATCAAGGCTGGTGAAGGACACCAGCATCAAGGCTGGTGAAGGAAATCAGCATCAAGGCTGGTGAAGGACACCAGCATCAAGGCTGGTGAAGGACATCAGCATCGAGGCTGGTGAAGGACACCAGCATCAAGGCTGGTGAAGGACATCAGCATCGAGGCTGGTGAAGGACACCAGCAAGCCCGGGAAGGACACGTATCGGGCTGTGAAGGAACACCAGCCTGAGGCTGGTGAAGGACACCTGCATCAAGGCTGAAGGACACCAGCATCAAGGCTGGTGAAGGACATCAGCATCAAGGCTGGTGAAGTACACCTGCATCGAGGTTGTTGAAGGACACCAGCATCGAGGCTGGTGAAGGACACCTGCATCAAGGCTGGTGAAGGACACCAGCATCGAGGCTGGTGAAGGACACCAGTATCAAGGCTGGTGAAGGACACCAGCATCGAGGCTGGAGAAGGATACCAACATCAAGACTGGTAAAGGACACCATCATCAAGGATGGTGAAGAACATCAGCATCAAGGCTGGCGAAGGACACCAGTATCAAGGCTGGTGAAGGACACCAGCATCGAGGCTGGTGAAGGACACGAGCGTCGAGGCTGGTGAAGGACACCAACATCAAGACTGGTAAAGGACACCATCATCAAGGATGGTGAAGAACATCAGCATCAAGGCTGGCGAAGGACACCAGCATCAAGGTTGGTGAAGGACATCAGCATCGAGGCTGGTGAAGGACACCTGCATCAAGGCTGGTGAAGTACATTAGCATCAAGGCTGGTGAAGGACATTAACTCAAGACTGGTGAAGGACATCAGCATCGAGGCTGGTGAAGGACATCAGCATCGAGGCTGGTGAAGGGCACCAGCATCAAGGCTGGTGAAGGACTCCAGCATCAAGGCTGGCGAAGGACATCAGCATCAAGGCTGGTGAAGGACACCAGCATCAAGGCTGGTGAAGGACACCAGCATCAAGGTAAGTAAAGGACTCCATGTTAACTGGAGCCTTAAATCCTCGTGCCAGGAGAAGAAATATTACCCAAATAAAAGAGGCGAACAGAAGTAAAAAAGAAACTTAAACAAGAGTTCTCAAACAGGAATAGAAGAGTTGGAACCTTCTTTTCTGACATAACAAGTCAAGGTCCGTAGAGTTCGAACCTTTCCTGCTAACATGAAGACTCAAGGTGCCCAGGTTCGAACCTTCCTTGCTGACATGAAGGGTCAAGGTGCCTAGGTTCGAACCTTCTCTTCTGACATGATGAGTGGGTTGAACCTCCACCTCCCTCCCTATTTTAACATCTCGACACTCTTTTTTTTTTATTCACTGCCAAATGTATTTATTTCCCATGTCTTGTCAACATGTTTACCTCAAAGCTTCGTTTTTCCCCTAGCAAAATTTTTAACATTTTCTTTCTCCTCAAAGTCATTTAAGCTTTTTTTTTCCCCTCCATATACTCCGCCTTCCTTAAAAAAATTTTAACTTGTAAAGGACTTTCAGTGTGCTAGCTTATTACCCTTTTATTAATAAAGCTTCTCTCATTACCACTGCTGTATTTATTATTTTATTTTCAATGGCAGAAAATGCAGACAAATGTGTAAATAAGACACAATGAAGTTTACGTCATTTTATTGAGAAAATGTTCCGTTGGCCAGGACCTTCATCATTTCTCACAGACAGAAGCAAATAGAGCATATATAGAGCTTATATATAGAGCTTATAAATGCATTAGAGTAAAGAAGACATGAGGTAAGAGGAACCTTCAAGATACACTGAAAGGCCTTGACACAGACAAGAAGAATTATTTGAAGTGATCTTTGAGTCAGTAACTCGAAAAAGATGAATGAAACAGCGAGACGGAAGATGCAACACGAACGAGTGTAAAGGCTTTTGTGTAAATAGGATTGCAACAGAACGGAATGAACTATCTGATAAAGTTGTAAGCTTGAAGACAATAGTCATTCAAAATCAGCTGGAGTAGCATTTTGCAAACACATGTTTACACTAAATACTTCCCTGGAGAAATATGAAGTCCGCAGATTCCTGATGTTTGTTCATCAGGGTAATTAGTTAACAACGAGGCAGCCTAGTTAATAACAATACTAATAGGTGGTAAACATACCAGGTGGAAGATGTGTCATAATATAATAGCACTAAACAGCTCATAACTTTCAACTAACTCCATCTCTCTTGTAAATTTAATGTCATTTATCTAGATAGGATTTGGTATATTCTTCTTCCTTTTTTCTCACACCGGGTGAGTCCGAAGGCAGTGAAATATAGGAAGATAACCTTCTGTTTTAGGTATAGGTTTTAGGTGATAGATTTTAATCTATTGTAGAAGTATATAGTTCTTAGCGGATAGCCTTACTGTGTGGATTTCCAAGTCCTGTCTTATTTGTCTTTCACATGTACTCTCTTGTAGAGCTGGGAAGGCGACGTCACCTGGTGTAATGTGTCTCAGATAAATGGAAGCATCCAGTGTTTTAAAATTTTGATGGCCAGTAGACGCACTGTAGTGCTACGCTAAACCCATAGGAGAAGGAGGTAATCAGGTTTTATTCAGCTAAGCAAAGGTTACATCCAGTTCTTTACATCAAGATCCCATCACCGGCATCAAGGAACCTCCCTTAAGGGGCATATTTCAGTTACTAAATACACATTAACTCAAAGGTCAAGTGGGCTGGATAAGACTTGTGTAACAGACGCTGGAGACAAAGCTGTTTCTCAGTCTTCAAGGTCGACAAAGGTGGCCCCTCTTCCCAATCTTAATATTATCAAGAGCACCCAGGACTCTGTGGGATATCCAGAGTGGCGCAGATAAACACAAAACTGGGTATATAATGTGACACTCTCCACTGCTGCTTGTATTAATACACAAGTTCAGCAGAACAACAACCATGGTGAGGCAACGCTCTTACAACCATACGTTATTTCCCTAATTGTATACTAATAATAATAATAATAATAATAATAATTAATAATAATAATAATTATTATTATTATTATTATTATATTATTATTATTATTATTATTATTATTATTATTTTTATTATTATTATATTAGTATTTGTTATTTTATTGAAATTATTATTATATTATTATTATTATTATTATTATTATTATTATTATTATTATTATTATTATTATTATTATTGTCATTTAGTCAATATTTAGTTACAGTGGTCATGTAGTTTTCTCTAACACAAATATCTCTCAAGCTTTGACATTCCACCATAAACCTTAAAAAAAATAACTTCTGAATACTGTTTTGCGATGATTATGTCTCTGTGTTTCTCGCTTTAATATTTAGTGCAAAGAGTAAATTTGTTGGACAAATTTCTGCTTTATAATTAATGTGTTTTTTTTAAGAAATATAATCTATATTACATAATTTGCGTGCATTTTGCAAGTTAAATATAACAAAAAATGCAACCGCTTCTCATATGCTTGTAGCGTATTATATTTAAGCCAGCGGAAGGCCTCGGTCAGATGGCCGGAAGCTCCAGCTGTGGGTCGTCGTATAACTAAGACCCTCGTCAGGAAACACTTGTCCTATTTCTTGACAAACCTTACCGAACTTAACCTAATATTTAACCCATCTGATGTTAATTTTTAGTTTTACGTTATATTCTTTTTAATTTACAGAAGTCGTTGCTAGTATTGCTGCTAGTGGCCTTATCATCAGCCACTGTCATCAAAGATGGTGCAGGAACCCCTTGTGATGACGCAATATCCGACCAGTGCCCGGCAGAAGATGGCCCAGGTAAGATATTTGCAGTTGTATAAATCTGTATCAATGTGTATATGTATTAGTACCCAGGTAATATAATTGTCTTCCTGTATACATACCAGGACCTGCCTTGTATGGGCCAACAGGCCTCCTGTAGTGTTCCTCCTTTCTTATGTTCTTATCACTCCACCTTCTAAGCTCACACTCATACCTCTGTTCACGTCAACAGACCCTTTATACATTGCCGTTCCTGAAAACTGCCAAGAATACTGTGAGTGCTCACAAGGAACGGCTTATCTCTTTGAATGTGGAGAAGATACACTCTTCGACGACGTGCTTAAGGAATGCAACTGGGCTACCCATGTTAACTGTGGCTCCAGACCAATTCCCGGCTCAAGCACTAGTACTACTACTACTACTACTGCTACTACTACTACTACTACTGCTGCTGCTACTGATACTACTTTTTCTACTGCTAGTTCCCCCTCGTAGACCGCAGGAACTGCAGACATTTTTCTCGATATGCTAATGTGTTCTAACTATTCATGTAATAAACGCTAAGAATAAAAACATAGGTATATATTTAGAAATAAATTTAGAAAAAAATCTTCCTGTTGGAAACTCCGATGACAATTCAACCACTCGCCATAATTTAGAAAAATGTGGTTCACCTGTAATGAACTTTTCGAATTGTATAGAATTATATAAATAAATAAATTTTCACTGGAAAAAAATAATTGATTGGTTTATTCTCCCATAAAGGAGTATACCTGGAGAGGGTTTCGGGGTCAACGCCCCCGCGGCCAGGTCTGAGACCAGGCTTCTTGGCGGATCAGGGTCTCATCAACCAGGCTGTTACTGCTGGCAGCACGTAATAATAAGTATATTCGATGCCGTAAATTCACTTGGGCATCGACAACTGCTGGTGAAAAATACTGATATTTTGGAATATTGTCTGTAAATCACAAAAGTAAAACACTGTTGTTCTTTTTGTTTTTGGTTAAAATTACACCTTAGTAAGAAAATGCAGTTCAAAATTACGATCATGTTTACATATGAATGCAGGTGCATATGTATGTTAAGTTATTAGCTTCATTATGCACCCATTACCCATCCTGTGGGCGGTAGTCACAGGTTTACAGAGAGACATATAATGAACCTGTGTGTGTGTGTGTGTGTGTGTGTGTGTGTGTGTGTTTGTGTGTGTTGTGTGTGTGTGTGTGTGTACTCACCTATTTGTACTCACCTATTTGTGGTTGCAGGGGTCGAGTCACAGCTCCTGGCCCCGCCTCTTCGCTGATTGCTACTAGGTCCTCTCTCTCCCTGCCCCATGAGCTCTATCATACCTCGCCTTAAAACTATGTATGGTTCCTGCCTCCACTACATCACTTTCTAGGCTATTCCATGGCCTGACTACTCTATGACTGAAGAAATACTTCCTAACATCCCTTTGATTCATCTGAGTCTTCAACTTCCAATTGTGACCTCTTGTGTCTGTGTCCCTTCTCTGGAACATCCCGTCTTTGTCCACCTCGTCTATTCCGCGCAGCATTTTATATGTCGTTATCATGTCTCCCCTGACCCTCCTGTCCTCCAGTGTCGTCACGCCGATTTCCCTCAACCTTTCTTCATAGGACAATCCCCGTAGCTCTGGGACTAGTCTTGTTGCAAACCTTTGCACTTTCTCTAATTTCTTGACGTGCTTGACTAGGTGTGGATTCCAAATTGGTGCTGCATACTCCAGTGTGGGCCTGACGTAGATGGTATACAGAGTCTTAAACGAATCCTTACTGAGGTATCGGAACGCTATCCGTAGGTTTGCCAGGCGCCCGTATGCTGCAGCAGTTATCTGATTGATGTGCGCCTCAGGAGATATGCTCGGTGTTATACTCACCCCCAGATCTTTTTCCTTGAGTGAGGTTTGCAGTCTTTGGCCATCTAAACTATATTGTGTCTGCGGTCTTCTTTGCCCTTCCCCAATCTTCATGACTTTGCATTTGGCAGGGTTAAACTCAAGGAGCCAGTTGCTGGACCAGGCTTGTAGCCTGTCCAGGTCTCTTTGTAGTCCTTCCTGATCCTCATCTTATTTGATTCTTCTCATTAACTTCGCATCATCTGCAAACAAGGACACTTCTGAGTCTATCCCTTCCGTTATGTCGTTCACATATACCAAGAACAGCACAGGTCCTAGGACTGACCCCTGTGGAACCCCGCTTGTCACAGGCGCCCACTCTGACACCTCGTGTGGGCGTGTGTGTGTGTGTGTGTGTGTGTGTGTGTGTGTGTGTGTGTGTGTGTGTATGTGTATGTGTGTGTGTGTGTGTGTGTGCGTGTGTAGGTGTGAATAAGAATACAATCATGTGCGCATGAGTGCGCATAAAAATAGAGCAGAGCTCAACCACAGTAATAATTCTAGATGTCTCTGGATCACTGCTCAATCTGGGAAAAGTATGCCAGTATCCTGTAAGATCAGCCCACTCTATCTCAATCCAAGCAAAAGGAATAGCACCGCGTGGTGCATTCTAATGCAGTTAAACATCAGTCAGAAGAGACCTTCACATATCGCATGGCAACACATGCCCCAATTTCTGAATTAAATAAAACTGCAAGTTGGCACCCACACATTCTATGGTTACTGCACAGAGACCAGAAGCAATGTATCATTGTATCAGTATACTGTATCAATGTATGGGAACAATGTATGAGTGTATAACATTAAATTATAACAGAATATTTAAGTTTTCCAGCACATTATAGAAAAAAATCATTTTCCAATACCTACTAACACAATCTCAGTATTTTCCAGAATATTATATCAGAATATCGTTGTTTTCCAGCACATTATATCAAAATATCAGAAGTGGTGTTCTCAAATTATCGCAAGGCATTGTGAACGCCAGTATACCTACCTCAGTGCTACGCTAAACCTGTAGGAGTCATATATCGCCTGGAGAAGAGAGATAATCAGGTTCCATTCAGGTAAGCTGAGGTTAGGTCCAGTTCCTATCATCAAGAGCCCATCAACGGCATCAAGAAACCTCCCTTGAGGAGTATATTCCAGTTACTACCCACAAATTAATTCAAAGTCAAGGAGAAAGGACAACACTTGTGTAAATGGCGTCGACAACAAAGCTTTTCTCAGTTTCAAGGTTGACAAAGGTGGCTCTCTTCCCAGCCTTAATATTATCAGGAGCACCCAGGACTCTTTTTGAGATATCCAGAGTGACGCAGATAAACAAATAAATGGGTATATAATGTGACACACCCTCCACTGCTGCTTGTATTCTACAGAAGTTTTTGCAGGAGAACAGTAACCATGGTGATGCAACGCCCTTATAACCATTCGCTCTTATTTTCCTAATTGTATAGTTGTTTTATTATTATTAAAATTAGTAGTAGTATTTAGGCAGTAGGTTGACCTAGGTAGTAGGCTGGTAGACAGCAACCGCCCAGTGAGGTACTACCGTCCTGCCAAATGAGTGTGAAACGGAAGCATGTAATTATTTTACATGATAGTAGGATTGCTGGTGTCTTTTTTCTGTCTCATAAACATGCAGGATTTCAGGTATGTCCTGGTACTTCTACTTACACTTTGGTCACACTATATATACATGTATAAGCATATACATACTAACCCTTCTGGGTTTTCTTCTATCTTCTTACTAGTTCTTGTTCTTATTAATTTCCGCTTATCTCCATAGGGAAGTGAAACAGAATTTTTCTCCGTAAGCCATGCATGTCGTAAGTGGCGACTAAAATGCCGGGATTAAGGGGCTAGTAACCCCTTCTCCTGTATATATTACACAGATGACAGCAAGGAAATGGGTGAGCTACTCAAGTCCCAATATGACTCAGTTTTTAGCAAGCCGCTAACCAGACTGAGAGTCGAAAATCTAAATTAATTTTTTATGAGAGAGCCACAGAATTTGGTAAACACAAGCCTATCTGATGTTATCCTGACGCCAAATGACTTCGAACAGGCGATAAATGACATGCACTCTGCCCCAGGCCCAGACTCATAGAACTCCGTGTTCATAAAGAACTGCAAGAAACCCCTATCACGTGCTTATAACATCCTATGGAGAGGGAGCATGGACACTGGGGTCGTCCCACAGTTACTATAAACAACAGACATAGCCCCACTCCACAAAGGGGGCAGTAAAGCAACAGCAAAGAACTACAGACCGATAGCACTAACATCCCATATCATAAAAGTTTTTTGGGAGGGTCCTAAGAAGCAAGATCGCCACCCATCTAGATACCCATCAATTACACAACACAGGGCAACATGGGTTTAGAGCAGGTCGCTCCTGTCTGTCAACTACTGGATCACTACGACAAGGTCCTAGATGCACTAGAAGACAAAAAGAATGCAGATGTAATATACACAGACTTTGCAAAAGCCTTCGACAAGCGTGAGCATGGCGTAATAGCACACAAAATGCGTGCTAAAGAATTAACAGGAAAAGTCGGTCGATGGATCTATAATTTCCTCACAAACAGAACACAAAGAGTAGTAGTCAACAGAGTAAAGTCTAAGGCGGCTACGGTGAAAAGCTCTGTTCCACAAGGCACAGTACTCGCTCCCATCTTGTTTCTCATCCTCATATCTGACATAGACAAGGATGTAAGCCACAGCACCGTGTCCTTTGCGTATGACACCCGAATCTGCATGACAGTGTTTTCCATTCAAGACACTACAAGGCTCCAGGCGGACAGCAACCAAATCTTTCAATGGGCTGCAGAAAATAATATGAAGTTCAACGATGAGAAATTTCAATTACTCCGATATGGTAAACATAAGGAAATTAAAACTTCATCTGAGTATAAAACAAATTCCAGCCACAAAATAGAGCGAAAAACTAGCGTCAAAGACCTGGGAGTGATCATGTCGGAGGATCTCATCTTCAAGGACCATAACATTGTATCAGTCGCATCTTCTAGAAAAATGACAGGATGAATGATGAGAACCTTCAAAACTAGGAATGCCAAGCCCATGATGACAGTCGTCAGGTCACTTGTTCTATATAGGTTGGAATATTGCTGCACACTAACAGCGCCTTTCAAGGCAGGTGAAATTGCTGACCTAGAAAATGTACAGAGAACCTTCACGGCGCACATAACGGAGATAAAACACCTCAATTACTGGGAGCGCTTGAAGTTCCTGAACCTGTACTCCCTGGAACGCAGGCGGGAGAGATACATGATTATATACACCTGGAAAATCCTAGAGAGACTAGTACCAAACTTGCACACGAAAATCACTCACTACGAAAGCAAAAGACTTGGCAGACGATGCACCATCCCCCCAATGAAAAGCAGGGGTGTCACTAGCACGTTAAGAGACAACACAAAAAGTGTCAGGGGCCCGAGACTGTTCAACTGCCTTCCAGCATACATAAGGGGGATTACCAATAGACCCCTGGCTGTCTTCAAGCAGGCCCTGGACAAGCACCTAAAGTCGGTGCCTGACCAGCCGGGCTGTGGCTCGTACGTTGGATTGCATGCAGCCAGCAGTAGCAGCCTGGTTGATCAGGCTCTGATCCACCATGAGCCCTGGTCACAGACCGGGCCGCGGGGGCGTTGACCCCCGGAACTCTCTCCAGGTAAACTCCAGGCAATGTTTAAAGGAGAACCTTTTGTTTTCCCTTTTGAAAAACTCTGCCTCGGCGAGATACAGTCGGTTTGTTGAAAGAAGAAGTAGTATTTAGTTAACATCTAGTTACAGTGGTCCTGT